GAAGCAACATGTCCGTGCTTAAGGTCTTCAGGTGACATGCCCCTGGATATGATTTTTCTTGACGTGATCCGTCAATTACTCAACATAGTTTCAGGCCTTAAAAGAATAAACTCATCACTGGTGCTTATGTGAGCTTCCTTGATATCAAACAAATGTTTCGCAGTTAGAAAAAGTTTACAATGAGAATGAAAATTCTAATGCAACAGTTATGTAAGTCTTGAAGATTTTGAAAGATATCGCACAAATTTTGCGAGTTAGAGCACCATTTATTTTTGTGTAGGAAAAACATATGATACCAACATAATTATTTAGAACATTCATGGGAGTCAGGAACACTATCTCATTGAAGTATGCTTTCAAAATAACCTTGCTTCAATTAGGACTTTTGAAGGTTGTAACGTGGTCTGGTTCATGGTTTTTAGAAAAAAGATTTTAAGGCTCAAAATATTTGGTGCCCACCCATTCTTCATGATGTTCTCCAACCCTATGTTCAGTTAATTCAACATGAGTGTTCATCTCTCAAAAGGATTTTGTGACGGTTAAGGAAACGACTAGGCTTTCCGTGTAGCAACCACCTTTATGTCTTCGTGTTTGTAGTCACCAATTTGTTCTTTGTTGAGGACTTTTCTTTGCAGTCCTTTTCTTTGAAATTTTTATTTTCCCTAACTTTTGCCTGAACTAATTCTTTTGAATTGATAGTCCAGCGGGATGCCTTAATTTTGCCTAAGTCACACGTTTTCATGTTTTTTGACTTAGCAGGCTTTTTCTTTTTTTTTTCTCGATTTTTGACTTTTTGAACAAAATGTGTGACATTAGCTTGCATTTGCTTGTTGAGAAGACTGTGATTGCCTCGTTTCTTGATGAATGAGGGATAACATTGTGGTTCCACATCCTCTAGATTCATTATACAGGAAGGATAGCCCTCGTAGTTTCTCTTCAAAAAACATCTTCCTTATGAATTTTGAACACTCAGTCAGATTAACTAAAAACTACCCTGCCCCAGGTTAAAATTCAAGGTTTTTTGTATAGAAAAGAAACTTCTACTTCAAAGGCTCAAAAGGGGTTAGCAAGGGATTATCTTCCTTATATATCCAGTGTTTAGGGATTCGAAACAATGCCTGTACATCATCAGCAAGATTTTATCCAAAAGCAAACAACCAGAGATTTTGTGTTCTTTAGATCATCATCCTCCCTTCAATCTCTGCCTAGGCAAGAGACTGGGCAACATGTTAGTATCACAATGCAAAAAGCAATTTAAAATTTGAAAACAAATATGAGTGAAACGAATGAATTTCTTCAAGACAAACATGCTCATTGTATTAAGATAATCATACAGATGCAAACAAGTTCTTACATGCAAACAATGTTTTGATAAACAAGAAAAATTACTAAAAGCAGAAATAAGTTAATGATCGGGGAAGGCTTTCCATCTGGACTTGAATCACTAAAAACATCCTTCAAAAATCAAAGTCACCATCAATTGTGTTTACTTTTTGGCGCATGCTTGATTTGAACTTCAAAACCAACGTCCTTGAATGACAAGATACCACTTCTGACCAACTTCTGAACCTCAATCTTCAAAGCAAAGCAACCCTCTAAGTCATGCCCAGGAGCACCTTGATGAAAAGTACAAGCCAAATCAGCTTTGTAGTACCAATGTATCTTCTCAGGAACCTTCGGTGGAGGTCGGGTCAGAACCAAATTCCTCTGCATCAGGATAGGGAACAACTCTGTATAGGTAATTGGAATTGGATCAAACTGGGTTTTCCTTTGATTGGGAACTTGCTGATTCTGTTGATGAATAGGAGAAACGTGATGATTTTGGCGATGATTATTTCTTCCTATGGTTCTCTTCTTGGAAAAGTTATTATCAAACTTCTTCACACCATTAGCTGAGCTACCATCTTCATATGAACATCCCTTCCCAACATCTTCTTCTAGACGCATTCCCACATTCACCTTGTCAGGAAAGTCATTAGGTGCATTAACCATCACCTTCTCATGAGAGAATGATTTTAGAGTTTCAGTGAAGACTTTTACCACCGCTTCTTCCTACCTAGAAGGATTGACTTGGGCGGCAACCAGAATTTCAACCAAACCGGTTAAGTGCTCCATACCAGCTTTCAAAATAGTCATCTCTCTGCGGAGTTCAGAAACCTCTTGCTTGATATTCTCCATTGTTCTCTTAGCGCGAGTGTTGTACTGATGAGACCAAAGGAAAAAATAAGACTCGGAAAAAGACCTTTGAAAGTGAAACAAAAAATGTAGAATGATGTATGATATGCAAAAGAGAGTTTTTATTTGATTTTCAAGGAACTCAAGATATTAAGTTGTAAACATCAAAGTATGAAGATAGAAGATGAATTTTAAATTGGCTCCAAACATTGATCAAGTTATCATCAAGATCAATCATCCATTTTGGTGGATTAGGGTTTCGCCCTATCAACACCCAAGATCCATTGAGCTTGACGAAACTTGTGATGTTTACAAAGAAAGACCTCCAAATTCCTTCAAAGTCAAGTGAAAAGGGTTTTATGGATGCATGAATGCATGGCTATGCAACAACCACAAGCAAGGTCACAAATAAAGTCGAAAGGTTCAACGTCACGAGAATGTAGTCAAGGTAAGGAACACCCCCAAGGTATGTACTAACGGTTTAATCACACCTGTAGAATAAGGTTCTAAGAGTTCCCGGAGTCTACATTCCTCCTTCGGATATTACCAACGTCTTGATTACTCAATAATCAACAATATTCTCAAGAGAAACTCATCCGAGCGTAGCATCACGTAACAATTACTTCTGGATTACTCTGTTATAATCTCTGCGCTACACCTAAAAGGCCAAGATGGGTTAGGGTTCTACGGTTCCCAGCTTCTCTGGCTCCCAGGTCGAAAATAATAATGTCTTCCCGATTACTCGGTAAACAAATATTACGTTCAAAAGGGCCTTCCACTGAGTGGGGGATCTCATGCCTCCTTCTTCGGGATTACTCCCTCAAAGTTAACATGACTATACCGCCCGTCCTATTCCTAAGTGTAACTTAGTCCGGGTATAGGACTTGTCCTTTGTAAATATTATCAACACCCAAATAATCATAATATATACATATAATCAAACAATCAAATAATGATAAAACAGATAAAACAAATTAGGCTTAACCCACTTAGGGATAGACCAGCAAGAGGTCAATCTTCCCTAGCAGAGTCGCCAATTCTGTAGCGGTGAAAATTGGAGATCAAGCTATTAATTAACTTGACTCGCAAAAGCAAGAGTCGCCACCGCGCTTTATTGTTTCCAAGGGAAAAGGGAAAAGAGCGAAATAAAACCCTAAAATATGCAATGTAAAATAATACTTAAAAGTAATAAAAATACAATGCGTTTTTTAAAAGAGATCGAGAGTTCGGGGGTTGGTTATACAATGGGAAGGTATTAGCACCCAATGCATCTGCGGTACTCCGCATGAACCTTTTGAAATATCTGTTTTTGGTTGAAATTGTTTGTTTGATTAAAATGGTTCGTTTGGCTAAAAGATGGGTATGGACGAGATTTTTGAAGATACGACAACCTAGTGTTGAAGTTTTGACTTAAAAGGTATGAGTTTGAAAATGGAGTCTTTTGGGAAAATTGTCTTAAGTTTTGAAAAATAGTAAGCAAGCAAAACATGAATGAGGCTATTCGCACGATTGTAGAAGATGTATTTGATGACATGAAGTCAACTAATTTAAATCTTTCCCTTGGAGTAAAACAAAAATATAAGCATCAATAAATGGCAAAGTAAAATCAAATAGTCGGAAAGAAACAATTTAGCAACTAAATGGCCGACACACAAATATTAATTTAGTTAATTGAAATTATCTAATAAAGCTAATTAATAAAAAATTTAGATAAAACAAATAAAATGTATTAACAAAATTAAATATCAAAATAACAATAGTTAAAATAAAAGTGAAAACAAGATAGTAATAATAAAAATAAAATAGTAATAACAATAAAATTTGAAGGGACTGTAAAACAGTAAACAAGGAGAAGGACAGATGGGCCGGAGTGAGGAAACATGATAAGGCCCAATTAAATCTTACTGTCACAAAATTTCAAAGAAAAAAACCTAGGGACTAATGGTATCAACCGCCGCCTGTCTTTGGGAATTGATTCAATAATAAATTCCAATTAATTCTTTTAATCATTAATTTAAATAAATCTCAATTTAAAGCATGATTTGAAAATATAATCCACGCTTATCTCTTAATCTCACGACCATCTCTCTCTTTCAACTTTGTCATCTTTTCTTTGAACGCCGCCCCAATACTCTCTGTTCTCGCCCTCTCCTCAAACATCATCCCCTTCTTACTAACTTGCATCGCCGACGACCTACTCCGCCACATACCCACCCCGTCCTGATTCTCTCTCGATTCACGCTTCACCTCTCTCGCCTTGAATAAACAACAACAACATTACCACTTTTCCTCTCAGTTCTGTCAACCATTCTCACGATACGACCCGGAATAACGAAATCAACAACAACACAACAAATGGAAAACAACATCTGGAACAAGTGAAATTGGAAGCGGAAAATTACCTACGGAGAAGATATTTTCTCCGAAACTTGTAGAGGTATGAAGTAACTAGAATTTTGAGGTTTGTTGTCTGTGTTTGTAGGATGGATTTGAACTTGTTCTTTTTGATAAATGATTTTTAGAGGAAGAATTTGTAGATGCAATATTACAGGTATCACAAACAGTGGAAGAATGAAATTTTGAGCAATTTGACGAAGAAAGTGTGGACAGAGGGAGATCTGTGTTGGTTCGGAATCGCGACGAAAATACTGTGATACGAGGAATGGAGATGTTGTATGTTTGGTTGTGAGGGAGTCCGGTTGGATACGGTGATGGCGAGTGGAATGATGGAGGAAAGCATTTGTTTGGGTTAAAGATGAAGGGTAGTTAGCGGAACAAGGTTGGATGCTGTAAGGGTTGTTTATGGTAAAGGTTGTGATTGAGGGATGGCGATGCAAGGGTTTATGGGGAATCAGTGGCGGATTGGATGTTATCATATCGGAAATGGAGAACTTGGTTGGTGTGTTGTCATTAGTGTCCCTGAGGAAATTCTATCAACAAAAATGGATTTCCATTCCAGATGGCTCTAATTAGATTTCCATTACAGATTTCCATCCCATCAAACCCCATCACCTTTGTTGTTTCATTTACCGGTGCTTACTTTCTTCATAGTCTCATACTAATCGCTCTCACTGCAATTCTTACTCATCTCCTAATACAAGACCAAAATCGAACCAAACTCAAAACCTGGCTTCAATGTCGATTAAACATTTCCTGCTACCTTAGATGTGCTAAGCTTTAGGGAAAGCTTTAGTAAGTTTTCTGCAATATTTTCTAACACTTTTTATTTTAATGTTTGGATTCTTGTTCTATTTCAGCTTTTAAATATGATGCTAGTAATGGGTTTACATATTCAAATATGGAAATGATGAAGGTTTAAGGCTTACCTACGAGACGGATAATCGTATCGGTTATTGTTGAAACAAACTCTTCACGAATGCGTAGAAGAATACCAGAGGGAAATCTACATTAGGTACAAATTCTTCTTATAATTTCTTCGACTCCGGTTGTTGTTGTTTCAAAATTTTGTTTCAGTCTTTGTTGAAATTGCATTTTAGCTGTGAATTGTGTTGAACTGGTATTCTGCTACAGGCAGCTTGAAGATGATTATCGATGGTGTGAAGCTTTGAACTTTGATTTTCTTCCCACGACTATGAGTGTTGTTGTAACTCTGAGCATTAAGAGCTTGAAGAAAAGGAGCATCAACAAGAAACGGTTCTGAGACAGGGAAACATGGTGATAAGGTAAGATTTTGGTGAGTTCTCACATCTTGCTATGAATCTTTGTAGTTTTCATAAAGAGAGAGATTTAGAAGTTTTGGATCCCCCCCTGTATTTGTTGAACAAGGTTGGCATATATCTCCTTTTGTTCAGTTTTCAAAGTCTGAGTTTTATAGCCAGGAAAGAAAGAAAAAAATGAATTTGGGGGGAAAATGGTTGTGAAATTGGGAGGGAAAAGTTGGTTTTATTGTCACTGTTTTGTTGCTTTTTGGTGCAGGTATTTGTATGGCTATTTTGTTGTTATTTCTTCGACTGATATGCAGGGTTTGGAGCAGCATACAACAGCAGTTTTTTTGCACATTTCGGGAAAGCTTTGATATTGTTTTTTTTGTCTATTATTGTAGGGAAATTTAGAGATAGACAGCAGCATTGGACTGTTCCGAACAACAGCATAGCAGGGATAGTTTTTGAGTGGTTTGGGCAGGTTTTAGCAAGGATTTGGCAAGTTTTCATTTGCAAGCTTTAAAGTTACAAGACTTGGAGCATGAAGATTTAAGTAAACTTGGAAACTTGGCATGAAGATTAGAAAAATGTTTAGGTTTAATCGTGGACAATGGATAGGATTAGGATTTAGGAATATATGTAAACTCTTGTGTAATCTTCTTATAGTATCTCGAAGTGATGAGTGATCCTTGTAAATTTCCTAACTTATGAATGAATAACTCTTGTCATGAATGTATCTTTGATGAAATTTTGATGGCTTTAACATTGTTCAGTGATCTTGAAAAAAATGGAAATCTTGAACCTTTGAATGAATTTGTCTTGATCAGACAATTTAGGTAATGAATTTGAAATGGTATGAATGTCTTTATAGAGTTGTCATTTATGTGGCAAGTGAACCATGAATCTTCTAATTTTCCATTAGAAAGAATAAAATTGAATGGAATCTAAATGGACTAAGAATGAATTTGAATCATGAGCAAAACTTATATGAATCTTGAATGTACTTTTGATAAGTTTGAATGACTTGAAATGGTGAATAATGTTGAATGATCTTTGTAACTTGTTATATTTGAATTCAAAATTTCCATAATTCCAAATTGTAAGCATTATAAATTGGATGAAATTTTTGTCCCTTGTATTCGAAACTCTCTTGAAAAACATTTGCAACTTTGAATGGCATTTGAACTTGACATTTGAATTTTGAACATTGTCTTGAAAGTTGAATGGTGTGCAACTTAAAATAATGAATGTTTGAATCTTGGCATAATGACCTTAAATCAAAAAGAATTTGTATGAATTGAAAGAAAGGTAAATGTTAAAACTTTAATGAATCGAATTTTAATGAACAAACAAATGCCTTAAGAAATTTAATCAAAATCCAACTTCGCTCCATTAATCATTAGCGCTCAAACACAAGTGACTTGAATTACGAGCAATAGATGATCAATGAATCTTCAAACTCAACAAATTATTTGATGAATTATCTTAACATAAGAATCAAACGTCCTTTGAGAAAACGTTTGTGGCATAAATTGAACCAAGCACAAATTGACCTCGACCTTTGAAGTAATCTCATAGACAATGCTATTTGTGACACTTCACAAAAAGAATTGCCTCGGGACGTTGAGAATTGAAGAAGTTAAAAGTTGAATTTTGGTCGAAGTGCTTTAAATCATCTCACATAGCCCGATCCTTTCTTGCATTCCAAGACACATTGAAGCACACGTGAACCAGTGATGATGGAATCTTGTATATGCTCTGAGGAGGTTGTGGAGAAGTTTGAGAGGTTAAAACTGGCCATATTTCGTGCCCTTAATTTCTTTGAAATAAAAATGCAAATGAAGATGGGATCTTAGGTCAAAAATTGGGGTACAACAGTGAGAAATAGTGATGTTATTTCACTGTATTGAACAATTTCAACTTATTTTCGTTCGGACTTTCAGATGCGAGCCATAAATCGAAACCTTCAGAGAGCTATATGAGCTCAGGCCCTAAAGCAAAGTTGAAGCTTACAAAATTGTGACCTCACACTTCATGAATCATCTTAATACGATAAAAGTCGGAAGAGTTACAATTTTTATAATATCGAGAAATAATCCGGTAGAAAACCACTTCGGCGTGTAATTTTCTCTAGTAATTCACACTTTCGGAAATCTTCTACAAAGAATTAATCTCTAACCCAAACATACGAATCGAAGATAAAATCAAGACAAAATTTTCCCCCAAAGAACATCCAAAAACATTAAACCGGGCGAAAGTTGTGAAATTTTGAACATCTGAAAAACAATGGTTCAGCACACTATTTTCACTATTATTTCACTGTATAGCTTCTGAATACTCGCACATTCAGAGACCTTCTTCAATGAATTAGCTTTTGAGCCGAACACGAAAGTTGAAGGAAATACAAGACGATCCAAATGCTCTAAGAGGCACTCAAAAATGACATTCCAGTCAGAAGTTACGAATTTTGAAGCATCAGAAAACCAGTGAAATGATAAATTCATTATATAATGCACTTCAAGTATTTTGCGCTTTAGAAAATCTTCTTCGCAAAATTAGCCCTCGACATGAACATGTGAAATGAAGAAGACCTCAAGACAGTTCTAATGACTGAGGAATAATTTCCAAACCATTTTCTGATCTCAAGTTATGAATTTATAAGCTTGAAACACACAATATTGAATTTCTGTTTACACTGTCTCAAATCAAATGAAATGCTCGACTTTCTACACAATTTAGAGCGTGTTGGAATGAATGAGATCTTGATATGACAAGAACTTGATTTTTTGTTGATTGGACAACTTAGAACACATGCATAGTACATTTAAATTTGGAAAATCCCGAATTCTGCTTCACAATGCTACTTAATAGAACAATTGATTTTCGCAACTCTTTCTTGCATAGAAATACCTTGATCCCATGAGCATGGACCCTATGACATGTATGTATGCATATGATGATAAAGTATAAGCCGAATAGGGTTAAAATAAAGAGGGAAAATTTTAGGGTACAACAGCTGCATATATTCAATCTTCTTTCACTAGAGGGTGAGATTGGCGGTAGCCTTTGGAACAATCAATGTGAAAGAGGATTGAATACTTAATAGAACCATAAAATTTTCACTCCAAAGCTAGTCGATTAATTTTTATTTCTGGTTTTCTATATTTCTTTTTTTTTCTTTTTGGTGAATAGTGGTTATCAGGGGTAAATGTATGTCAGGTCAAGGTTAGACACACAACCTAGTGATTGGATATCAAGGAACATGTTCTCGGAGTTGGTAGAGAACACACAAGAAAGAGACTAAATGAAGAAATCTCTATCAAAGATACCAGCAATACATGTCCAAAGTTGGTAGCGGACACATAAAAAATTAGAGACTGGAGGAAAGGACTCTATCAAAGATGTCACAAATATATGTTCGAAGTTGGTAGCGAACATATGAAAAGAAAGAGACTGGAGGAAAGGACTATCAAGGATATCGATAATTCATGTATGGAGTTGGTAGCAGACACATAACAAGAAAGATACCATAGGAAAGGACTCTATCAATGACTTCAAATATATGTTCGGAGTTGGTAGCAAACACATAATGAAAAAAAGACAAAAGGAAAGGACTCTATCACAGATGTCGAATAAACATGCCCGGAGTTGGTAGCACACATACAGAAGATACCTGGGGAAATGACTGTTACAAAGGATATCATAACTATATGTCCGGTGGAAAGAACATATACAAAAGAGACAAAGAGAAAGGGCTCTATCGAGGATACCACAAATGTTTGTTCGTAGTTGGTAGCAAACATAAGATAGAGACTAACCGAAGAAATCCCTATCAAAGATCTCAACAATACATGTCTAGAGGAAAGGACACATAAGAAAGATATTTAATATACATGTCTGGAAGAAAGGACATGTAACAGGAAAGAGGTCGGAGGAAAGGACTTTAACTAGAGATATCAAGAATACATGTCTGGAGTTGGTAGTAGACATATAATGATAAAGAGATCAGAGAAAATGACTCTTTACAAAGATACCACAACTATATGTTCAGAGAAAATAAAATATATGAGAGAGACCGGAAGAAAGGACTCTATCACGGATATCAAATATGCATGTCCGAAGTTGGTAGCGGACAGGTACAAAAGAGACAGACCGAAGAAAGCTCTAACAAGATATCAACATGTCTGGAGTTGGTAGTAGATACACAAGAAAGATATTGGGTATACGCTAGGTAAAATTAGGCACATACAACCAAAGAAGAGACCGATCGAAGAAGGTGCCGACAAGGAATTCTAACTGCATATAGACTCTTGGAGAAAGAACACCGATCAAAGGTGAACTTACTAGGGATAAGATATACATGTCTAGTCAAAATTAGACACATAAAAGAAAGAGACAAACCGAAGAAGACTCTAACAAAGAATGCCTGAACAAAGGCGAACCTACAATAGCAAGGAGACTATCCAGAGATAGACTCTTGAGGAAAGAACTCTTATCAGAAGTGAACTTAACTGGGGATTCACATTCGTATTGAACTCGAATAAAATGTCGGTTGAAGGCGAACTTGCAATTATCTGAATTACCACACACCAAGTATGGATACTCAAATACTTGAGAAATAAGAAAGGTTATACACCAACTCTTACTCACACTCTAACAGGAAAGCAAACATATGTAAAATAACGGAGGGCTTGTAAGGGAAAGGAAAGTCTACGACTCACTAGGAAAAGGGGAATACCAAAGACCCAAATAGTGGTAAACCAAAACAAACTTCGTTGGGGAAACAAGATAGGATCACCCTAGAAGCAAGTTGTGGAGGTAATTCAAATCTGACACATAACAAATCTTGCTATTTCAGGTAAACATAATTGGCTTATACCTCAATGCATGTTTGAATTATTTTTATAGCGTAATGCTCCATACAATGGAAATGCTAGGCGCTTTTAGTAGATGAAATATAATGATGCATGTTTAGAGATGTATGTTCAATGATGAAGTGGGAACAACACAGCAATAATCGACTGCTGAGAAGACAAGGATTATCTTTTCACATCTGATCTTCTGGAAAATAGTCAATCTAAACTTCGTAGAGAAATTGCAAATCCGAAACATCAACTTCCAAGGATTGATATCCCTGGGGAAGTAAACTCTTGGGAAGAAATACTGCAAAAATAAATTACAGTCCAGAGAAAATCTCGAACTTTGGTCAAACTCTTAAATTCCTGGGGAACAGATCCCTTGCCTCTAGTCTGGATGAGGAGAACATTGCTAGGAATGGAAACTTTCTCTCGTAAAATTTCCTGATGAAGATAACTTCTAAAGGGGATAATGAGAATTCTTGAATTAAAATAAAACCAATATTAGACCATATTGGGTACTTTACCGTCACGGGTAAAAATCTTCGCATGGGGAGGAAGAAAGAACCTTTGAGACTGAAACTTAAGGTTCAAAACTCCACTGGGGAATATCACAACAATATTCTATCATTGAGGATAAAAGGAGTTCCAACCAACACTCTCATGT